AGCTAGCGCGTAAAGGCGGGCAGATGTGAAACATTGATATTATTTTGTACAGGTACAGATGCATAAAAATAATGTTTACGATAGGAAATTCATGTGACAAAATGAAAAATAAAATATTAATACTAAGAAAAAGTCGCTTGTGCATGTCGACGCGTCGCCACGTCTTTTTTACCGGGTACCACCACCCCGCCTATTTCTGCCGTGAAGCAGTAATGCGTTTCGGCTTGAACTATACTAACGTTGTAACTATACTGAGACCTTAGAACTTATATCTCAAGGTGGGTGGCGCATTTACGTTTTAGATGTCTATGGGCTCCAGTTACTGCTTAATATGAGGTGGGCTGTGAGCTCGTCCGCCCATCTAAGCAAAATAAAAAATAAATAAAAAATGCGTCGCCACGTCTGCAATCGAGTTTACGTACGCCTATAGATGTTTCACATCAAAATATATCAATAATATAATTACAAACTTAGCACAGTTGCTGTAGACATTTCAAGAAAAGTTTCTATCATAATACCCTCAACGTACGACAGTTCCGATTGGTTCGAAGAAATCGATGTTTTTCGTACAATCAGCGTCAGTAATAGCAAAACGTTACCGGATTTCACTAGTGCACAAATAACAATCAATCCCAACACTACTGATTACGACCATAACATGTATTCTTGGAGTATTTTGTTTACAGGGGAGCGAATGTTTGCCTTAGACCTTTGTAGCCCAGTCGATCCCGCGTCAGGGGTCAATGTCCTTAGCAGCGGCACGCTTTTCACCCTCACAGAACAAACGTTCAATAAATAAAGCAACTCATCATTGTAGTTGTGTGACTTTGTTTGAAGATTATACTTATCTTATGTTGGCCTACTGTAATAAGCTATTTTATGATTATTATATAAGTATTAGCCTTTTTTTTTTGTTGCTTCGATGGGTGGATGAGCTCACAGCCCACCTGGTGTTATTTGGTTACTGGAGCCCATAGACATCTACAACGTAAACGCGGCATCCATCTTGAGATACAAATTTTAAGGTCTCAAGTATAGTTGCAACGGCTGCCCCACCCTTCAAACCGAAACACGTTATTGCTTCACGGCAGAAATAGGCAGGGTGGTGGTGCCTACCCGCGCGGACTCACAAGAGGTCCTACCACCAGTAAAAGCCTTGTAAGCATGTGTGTTTGTATTTAACTAGGTTTGCTAATTCGCGGTCTCCACTCAAGAGTACGTTTGCCCCAACGGGAATAAATCGGGCGTAGCAGTCCGTAATCTCAAATAGGCTACTTAAAACTGCCATTACTTTCTACTGATGGATGAATATTACCTGCTTAGTTCTGCCGCGGCATTTTTAAGTTCCAACTTAAAAAAAAATATTAGGTTATGCATATTGGGTTCCGTTAACATAGAAATTTAAATAATAAATTTTCCAGGAAATCAAACGTTGTTCCGAAACAATTCTAGTTAAGCGTTGCGTGAGCAATTCCGTCTCGTTTCCCTCAATTAAGGCTCTCACACACTCTGGTACTAGGAACACAAACCTTTTTATGATTCAACTAATGTTTTAGTTTATTTAAATTTATGTAAGGTTGTTAAGCGTCTTTAACAATGGTCATAGCGAAGCGTGTCTTTAATTTATAAGTCAAGTTTTTAATAGTCAAATTTAAAAAAAAATATTTGTAATGAGAAAATATTAATCATTAAAAAAAACATTAATTTATTTGTCAAGCGTAATAACACAAGGTTCGAAATTTGATACGACTAAGGAATCGAACGTTCAGCTTGAATTTAATTAACAACAAATTATATACATTTTGGAAACATTGTAATGATTTTTGTTTATTGGCATTGTTATTTTTGTTATTATTAATCAAAGACAGAAAAGAGTTTATGACTGTCGCTTGCACGGACATTATTAACGTAACCTAAACAAATATCTTGAGTCCCATTTGAAGAATAACGTTGCGGTTCATTGAAATACCGAAGGAGATTAGATAGATATTCCAATCATTAAAGCGTTGTTCCTTTTGTAGATTTATATCGCATATATCTTTTGCATTGAAAGACATAGATTGAAAGACATAAAACTCTGTGTTGGCCGGGACTTGAGAAGAGCGGTTACTAACATACTAACTATACATGTAAAGTTTACGTTCTATACTACGAGTAGCTCTCGTGAACTGGAGCCCACTGAGTTTCTAGACCGCTGAGTTTCGCGCCGGATCTTCTCAGTGGGTCACTTTTCCGATCCGGTGGTAGATTCTGCAAAGCACTGCCCTTTGCTAGGGCCAGTGTTAGCAGCACTCCGGTTTGAGCCCCGTGAGCTCACCTACGTGTTAGGGCAAAGCGGTAATAGCCTCTCAAGGCTATCAGCATAGGTAGAAAAAAAAATGAGCTGGCATAACGGTCTCTTTCGTGCAATATTTTTGTGAGACTTCGCCTTAATACTTGAGTCTCGTTCATTATAAGTTATGAGTTGTGATCGATCTTAGTTTCCTTAGTAGCCCAATTAGAGTTTTTAACGTCCTAAGAGATTCGCATGATGAATTTCCGAAACAGCTAATTGTGAGGTATATTTTAACAGAATGCAAAAAAATGAGGAAGTTCTGTATAGCTATATGTTCATAGATATTTTCGACGTCCGTGAGCTAGTTTAGTATTATTTTTGGTCGACAGGCTATTTATATTATATATGTTTCTGAGTTGATTCCGTTGTTAAGTTAAATTAATGTATCTCAGAGTCGAAATCGATTTTCAATATGCGTTTTAAATTTACGGCATGTTTATCTGTTGTATTAAACATTGATAGCACGCTGACTGTTTAAAATGCTTATTATACTTAACAACTCACACCGATCCGGTTTTTAAGTCTTTACGCACATAGATAGGCACATAGATATCACAATAAAGACATTGAGACACGCGTCCGATTCAGAACTGAATAGTGTAGACTGGTATAGAGGTCGCCTCAATATTCAAAACGAAAAAGCCCAGACGCCATTTTAGACGAAAGAGAAACGACTAGAATTTTTTTTTTTTTAATTAAATTGTTTTATTTGAAACTAGCTGACCCGGCAGACTTCGCAGTGCCTCAATCTATAAATAAAAGACCTAAACTTTTGTATAAAATAAACTAAAATCATACACATCAAAGAAAAAACAAAATTGTTATTTTTATTAAGTTCCAGCATTTTCATATTAATCTACTTTTTAAGCCTTCTCTGGACTTCCACAAATAATTCAAGACCAAAATTAGCCAAATCGGTCCAGCCGTTCTAGAGTTTTAGCGAGACTAACGAACAGCAATCCATTTTTATATAAATAGATAGATAAGGAATACCATTGTTCAAAAAACAATGTTTTTAATATTCTACATATAATTAGTCAACAGGAACCTTTAAATCTAATCTTAAAACTAACAAAGCTTAACAAAGCGAAATAATTATCCATAAAAACTGATCCACGATACTGCGGTCCATTTAATTCAGCGTTTTAACTGACAGAAACTGATTTCGATGTTGCTGAAACCTGTTTCCGAATCTAGGTCACGTTTTCAGGGTACGCTTGGCCATTGGGAATGCTTAATGCAGGTGCGGACGTGAATAGCTCTTGACAGAATAAGATTTTTCCTATTCATTTCAGCGGTCAAAGAAGGTCGCACGAGACTAGTTCGTAGACGTAGAAAATTCAAAATGTTACCGGTATATGCAGTCAATGTTAAAAAAAAACCATGAGTTTTTTTTTTTATTGTTTAGGTGAATTGACGAGCTCGTGGCCCACCTGGTGTTAAGTCGTTACCGGAGCTCATAGACATCTATAACGTAAATGCCGCCACCTACATTAAGATATAGTTACAATGGCTGCCCCACCCTTCAAACTAGAGGCATAGCTGTTCCACAGAAAACCCAAGGTCGGTGCTATTTACTAGTGTGGCTTTGAGTACGACATGCCACCAGTAAACGAGAATGTATCACTCGAAAAGGAAGTAATGAATAATAGACGACAAGTTTTATCAGATAATCATTTGATAAAAAGTTCCTTTTTTGACGTGACAACGTCTTATAATTCGATGGAGCCGGCTGCACGCACGAAAAAACATGACTTATTGAGGCGTTCCATTTAAGGCTTGAAGTGCAAGCGAGAGCGCGCAACGAGCGACAAAAAGGCACAATCGGCCTCCGCGTTCGGCAGCGTTCGACATCTGTCTCTCTCCTACTTGAGTGAGCGATGCATCCGCGTGGACAGCTGCTATACAATAATACATTTACATGTTTTCGTCAAGTATGAAGTTCAGTGGAAAGTGAATGTGGTGTCAATTGTCCATACTAAATATCTATCAAACAAGTAAAATTAAATTTTTCTTTTGAAAAATGAACCATTCCATCAGTATTTTCTTATGACGTTGTCACGTTAAACTATCGTCAGTAAACCGACTTTACAGTCAACCAATTTTTTTCTCCTACCTATGCTGATAGCCTTGAGAGGCTATTTCAGGTTCTCGTTGACGTGTAGGTGAGCTCACGGGGATCAAATCGGGAGTGTTGCTAACACTGACCCTGGCAAGAGCAGTGCTTCGCAGAATCTACCATCGGATCGAAAACGCGAACCACTGAGAAGATTCTTTGTCTTAAATTTCTGAGTCAGTATTTAGAGAACAAAATCGCTTATTAGCCGTAAATAACTTTTCATAACGTTATAATATTTAAAATAATCTCTATTAAACTTTCAGCAGCCACAATATGAAAAGTCTTTAATTAAAATAATATATAGATTTTAATATCTGATTCTCTCGCATCTATTTCCTTCTTAATCCAATGGTATGAGCTCAAAAGTTGCATCCATTAAAAGTTATTAGAATACCTCCCGCTGTGTGAACAATAGCTCCATTGTAAAGCTATGTGCACATTGTGTTGCATGTTCCACGTTATACACGTGTGTATCGTAACAACAAAATGAACACAATAAAGACGAATGGAAATGAATGTGCGGTGTGCGGGCGTTTTGTTAGGACAATGTCATTTTTCGAATTGGGAATGTGAGTTCTGTTTTCAGATATTTTCCAAATGGAGTTATATAGTTATATATATTATTTCCAAGCATAAAAATGTTCTGCATACAATTAGTGCTTTAGTTGAGTATACATTTTGATACTCAGTGATATCGTAAATATTATGACAACAACAGAATTAGATTAGAGGGAGAAACTAATTAAGCAGAACGTTATTAAAAATATAAAATTTGTTAAATTAGTTGTAGAATTTAATCTAGTCACTAAAGTACTTACGGTAGTCTACTGCTTACTCTCCTAGTCAGGGAACATGATGGGTTTTTAGGGGAGGGTGGTTATGATTTTAATATTTTTCGGACCTATGTATAGGTGTGGGGACGATATTCATATGCGAGCTTTGGTTACCGCTTATACACATGAATATATGTATAAGTGGTAATTAATAATATATATCTCTCTTGTGAGTCCGCACGGATAGGTACCACCCTCCCCGCCTATTTCTGCCGTGAAGCAGTAATGCGTTTCGGTTTGAAGGGTGGGGTAGCCTTTGTAACTGTACTGAGACCTTAGAACTTATATCTCAAGGTGGGTGGCGCATTTACGTTGTAGATGTCTATGGGCTCCAGTAACCACTTAACACCAGGTGGGCTGTGAGCTCGTCTATCCAACTAAGCAATAAAAAAAAAAATCTTTTGCGACGTAACTTTCGTCTGTGGAACTAATTTCGCTCCAAGGCATTTCAGGAACGTTGTTACGTGTCCTACTTCAGACCTGCTTTGAAAAGAGTCCTTAACGATAGTTGCCTTTTTTATGACCTTGGCAAGGTACCTCTCACCATCAGATCGGCCGTATTTAAGGCATTAAAGATGAAGAAAACTCGAAAACCAGACTTAATATCTAATTAATATCTAAGTCCATTTTTAATTTAAATACGTCGGTTCGCTTAACAAATGAGTGTAATTAAAAGTAGGAATGCTCTAAACAGTAATACTGTATGCTGGATGTACAAAGACGTGTGCTATAAACTTCACTATTTGCGGAGCGGCGCGTCGTTCCGTATCGATCCACGCAGAACCAGTCATTCCAGAGCCACGAAAGATTTCCATTAGCGCTACATACTTATTTGTTTATCATCCATTATCTAATTTTAGAGCGTTTTAAAAATTAATATTCAATATGTCATGTTATGCACACAGAGTTTAAGTTAATGATTGTGGAAATAGCTTACCAGAAATAACGTTACTTACGAAACTTGGCGTGTCTAGGTAGGAAAGTGAGTCTACAAAGCGCTTTGATGCAGGTCGATGTGAGGGACTAGGTCACTAGGTATGGTTAGGTCACTAGGTATGACTAGGACATAAAGTTCTGGACTAACCAGATTAAGCTTTTTACATAACGGCATACGCAAATAATGTAATATCCACATTCTTTTATAGTCCTTGACACACCTTTTTAACAAACTCCACGGGTCGTGATCAAAACCTACAATTTCGTAGGTAAAGACCTGATATTCATTTACGTTCATCAACGTTTTTTTTTTCTTTGTAAGCAGACGAGTATTCGGCCCTTATTATGGCGAGCACTCCCTGGCCCTCATGGACATCAGTAATGCCAGGTACCATTGCCAAGCCGTTGCATACCGCATAGGACCTGGCTTGAATAGTAACAACCACTGTACAGAAACATTGCGGAGGCAACTTTATTCCGAACGCAAAACCCGGTGGTCATAGTTTAAGACGGGTGCATTTTGTTACGTTATTAGCTCAGTTGCATTATTTTTAATTAAAATGTTTAACTTTAATGAAAAGCCCTCTGTTCCTTCTTAGTTTGTGTATTATCTGACATATCTGTCGGTTACAAATTTTACGTTCGTATTGCGACCAAGAAAAGTCCAAGTTTGCGACTTGCCTTACCACAACATAAAATATCAATTTCGGGTCAGGAATAAGGGAATGGATTTTTTGGTGGTGTTGGGTACTGTAAAACTACGCTGCTACCACGTCCTTTTGAATACTGTCGCAAAACAGTCATACATGCCAGTTTGGTTAGTTAGTACAATACAACACAAAACTTCCTCTGCTTTTGCTTTTGTTTATTTCTTTTCCCTCGACAGCTTAACTTATAGACTTACTATTTAAGAAACTTTTGGGTCAAATAGGGTAATGATTTTTTTACTTTCGGATAGCGGTTCCTAATGTTACTTATTTTAACTTCAATTAACTTAATTTATTTTGATTTAAATACGGTACATACATACAAGTAGGTATCACCTCGCTGGTTTAATTGCTATTTATCTGAAGGGATTCCCGGTTATAGTCATTTTCTTTGTTCAAGATATTTGATATTCAATGTTTATGTTTTATTTGTGCTTGTTTCGTATGGATGCGTTTAGTATCTGTAAAGTAGCTGAAAACTCTAGTTTGGATCTGTGAACCTTTTTAGTTTGGCATTTGATAAGACCGTCAAGTCTAGGCTGAGAATAGGCTAGAGACGTAGACAGTATTTGGGTCTTGTTAGAATTTCCAAATATCACAGATCTTTGGGAACCTCTTGGTCCACGGAGGGACTTCGGATTTGTCTATTTTTTGTACTATATCTATGGGGAGTACTCCGAGGAAATGTTAGAGAAGAAACCAATTAGGTACCTATTTCGTTTTTAGAATCACAGCGCCGGCCACCGGAGCGGGGTTTATTCACTCTACCTGGAACCTCTGTGTGGAACAAAATGAGTTTCCAAATATCTTTTTTGCCACATATCAACTCGCTTTGTAGTTCCTTCACTGTGTTTCCTGAGCGCTAAGATTTGTCTTTCCTCCAGCGAATTTTTGTGGTAAGTACTGAGCGATTGGCAGGGGCAGAACAGTCAATCTTCGGAAATTGCTGACATCCTTGGCCGAATGTGACCACTCCACTCCATCAAGTTGGCCGCAGGCTCGTCAGCCTATAAAGGCAATATAAAAAAATTGCAAATCAAATAGTTAATTACATAATTAAATGTCTTTTTTGGCATTATTTAGTCAATGGAATAGTTTGCCTTTTATCTACAAATTCCACGGGCAGATAGACGCATTGTTTCATTTTCAGTTTATCCGTTGTTTGTCGAAATGACGAAGCTCTTTGTTAACATTGATTCGTAGATTTTCCGTGACCATTTTTGGCGGAGACCCACCTATTTCTCGATAACCTATCGACTGCACCCTTGCTGTCAATTAGTATGGCTCATTTGCAAATTGTATGCATGTGCCGTGAGCACCTTAGGTATAGAAGTGAAATTCTTTGTTATCGTTTTAAAATTAATGAAGAGTACAGTAGTTAAACATGCGTGGTAGTAATGTTATATCGTTGTTGATTTTGTGTGCCGTTTCTATACCAGCCACGAAAAATGTTAATGGGTGAGCTATAAATTTTATGATCACTATTTAGTTACATAAAATTATATAAAAATTCAAAATTTCGATTTCATTAGATACTTTGAAATATGTGGCCCTGGTTTCCTTCTTGAAAATTTATTCTAAGCGAACAATCCGAGTCAATTTAAAACGAGAACTAAATCTGTTTATAAATTGAATTTATTTTATGTTTCATTCGATTGTCTCGAAGCCCGCCAATCCCGATTACAGAATTCCGCTTAAGCTTTTATACGATTTTCAGATCGCAACCAATTCTACAAAAGACGATTGAAGCTCTTTTCAGTGATCGCTCGAACATAATCTACCCGGGTTCATGTAAATTGTTTATAGCCTCGAAACGACAAGCGAAAATCTGTACGAGAGAAAAGAAATTTTTCGAGATTTTGACGAACGCGAAGAAACAGGCCATCAGCGCCTGCGAAGAGAGCTTCCAGTACGACAGATGGAACTGTTCACTGGTATACAATGGGAAGGCGAAAAAGAGAATTTTTAACAAAATCTATAGAGAGACCGCTTTCATTCACGCCCTGCTGGCGGCATCGTTGACTCATGCAGTCGCGAAAGCCTGCGCTTCCGGAGAGCTGAAGAGCTGCTCATGCGTCGGTAGCTTCAGAAAGAACACCACATGGAAAGTCAATGGGTGCGGCGACGACTTCAAGCAAGGCAAGAGAATGATGAAGAACTTTCTGGATTTCAATCACGCCGGCAACGACCAAATCGCTGAAACATTAAAACAAGATGTGATGATTGGCGTTGACTCCATCGGAGAGCAGATGAGAGAGGTATGTAAATGCCACGGTTTTTCCGGTTCCTGTACAACGAAGACTTGCTGGAAACGACTGGGGCCGTTCAACTCTGCCATGGGATTATTGAAGAAGCACTACCATCATGCCGTGAAGAAGAAGCTATTGAATTACACGACCAAAAGAGCTATAACACCGCAAGCTAAGAAGAAAATGAAATCTGACGAGAAATACCTGGTTTATCTGCAGAAGACTCCCAATCTGTGCGTTTGGACCAAAGGTAGAACGTGTAAGAACAGACATAATTGTGCCACGCTGTGTTGCGGGAGAGGCTATTTGACTACCAAGAAGAATGTGACGTCGCGGTGCAAATGCAGGATGGTGAATTGTTGTTTCGTTGAGTGCGATACTTGTGTTAAAGAAGCGGAAATATTCACGTGTAAATAATGTTGGTGAATGTATGTAATTAGCATAACGGATTGTCAAATAAATTATGGAAGTAACTTTAGATTTCAATGGATTCGTTTTCCAGCTGTCGTGTTACGTAGTAGAATGAGTATAGAGCATTCCCTCGACTTGTGACCTAGGTCCGCTTCTGATGCGCGTCCTGATCTCATCTTCACTTTATTGCGAAATGTGCTTTTTATAGTTTGTATTATAATTAAGCAATTTGTATTTTAATTAGTAATGTTTTTGTGCATCAAACACGATGTAGGGTAACCGTTTTTGCAATGTATTTAAAGGTCAATTTTAACAATATTAGCAAAAGGTCGTGATGCCGCTAAGGATGTCCGGTGTGTTAGAATCGAGTAATACGACTGTGTGCTAAGGTAGCATCTTAACAATAGGAGGGACATGAACATTTCCTATGTTTTGTGGGAGCTCCTATGTCTTAAAATTGACGACTTAACGCACTTAACGCCGGCTTACCTCGCTTCGCAAAATCCTGTGGAACATGTTTTACGGTCGATTTTTTATTTATAAATTATATAAATATTATGTACTTGCATAAATCAATAAATAACCATGCTATGTTATCACAATCAATCTTCGCTTATAAAGGAATTTTTAATACAGCGCCATCTAGTAGTTCTTTAGGATAGAATTTGCTTAGTCGTTTGAAAAACATCTCGATATTCAACCGGAACAATCAACGCCAATCTGTTTTTGAAGATTTTAGTTCTTGAAAAAATTAATAGATGACATTAGTAGTAGAACAAAAAATTTAATTATGAACTTTTGTGAATATTTTTTATATTATAGAATTTTTGAGAAGTATTATTGGATTATTGGATTAGATACAATACTACTTAGAATAATGAATAAAATATTTTTTTTATTACGTTTTATTTCGGGTAAACTGGCTCATCGTCCACCTGGTGTGCAGTAGTTGAGACTTGGAAACCGTATCATAACGTTTCCGATCCGGTGGTAGATTTTGCGAAGCACTGTTCTTGCTAGGGTTAGTGTTAGCAACGTCGCCAAGTTTGAACCCCGTGAGCTCACCTACTTGTTAGGGTTACCCTGACATAGCCTCTCAAGGTTATCAGCTTGGGTAGGAAAAAAAAACATATTCCAGTGAATCTCTAAATTACCATTTATGTTACTTACGGAAGAGATGATGCTATTCTAAGTAATATTAAGTTAACTATTTATAGGTGTCCAAGGACCGAAACGTGCTGTAGCTGTCCAACTGAGTACATTAAACGTCTTTTCCATTAAACCACGAATATTTCAGAAATCTTATAAAGGTATTCAATAAAAATTTCATCCAAGTAAAGCTATTACTAGGCTTATTGCTTTTTTATATGTTATTGTGAATAGAATAGACATTGTTTCGATATAAATGTGTTTTCTCGAAAAAGGTTGATATTCGGTCTCCGAATGAGTGAAATGTTTTTTTTTTTAAATTAGCCTTATGCTTTCGGTCCGTCTAGAAGCAATAAATAAGCACATATACTTGAAAAACTACAAGAACAAATTTGAATAGCCGAAGCCCGATTTAGAAGTGATGTTTTTTACCCTCGTCATTCCGGCCCAGTTAATAATATAAATCTATTTAAATAAAAGAGGTCATATGGGTGTATGTATATAATATGTTCACCTAAAACTCGAGAACCGTTAGCCTAATTGATATGAAACTTTGCACAAACTTAAAGGGCGAATTTACCACTCCGACAAACATAGTTACGTTAATGTCGGATAGGTGGCGCTAGTTGTAATGATTTTAGTCTCTAGAACCATCATAATAATATGTCGATTATAAATGAATAAAAAAAAGGTTTTTTAATAAATGAACTAAAAATCGTGGGTTTTTTAGGTGAACCGAAGCTTTTTTATTTTTTTATTGCTTAGTTGTGTGCACGAGCTCACAGCCCACATGGTGTTAAGTGGTTACTGGAGCTCATGGACATCTACAACGTAAATGCGCCACCTATCTTGAGATATAAGTTCTTCTAAGGTCTCAGCTATTACAGTACAACGGCTGCCCCACCGAACCGAAAAGCATTATTGTTTCACGGCAGAAATAGGCAGGGTGGTGATACCTACCCGTGCGGACTCACAAGAGGTCCTACCACCAGTAATTACGCATATTATAATTTTGTGGGTTTTATTTTCATAACATGATGCTATTCCTTCACCGTGGAAGTCAATCGTGAATATTTGTAAAGTACGTATTTCATTAGGAAAATTGGTAAACCGCCTGCGGGATTCGAACACTGATGCATCGCTCGATACGAATGCACCGGACGTCTTATCCTTTAGGCTACGACGACTACAACGGGCTCCAGCTAGTTACATATAAGTTATAATAGTATTTATATATTACGTCCTCTATATGTGAGCAATTTTTTTAATTCATCGGACGTCTAGAATATCTTGAAAATGATCTTCAATTCCATTACATTAGGTACATAGTCAGATACAGTTCAAGGCTAATAAAAGCGAATTAAAAAACACAGCTACGTCATATATTAATTGAACCGAGATCATTTATATGTATACAAAATAAAGGATGGAAGTCTTTTGGCATCATCGAAACGAAATTCCCGATGTTCATTTAAATTTAATTCGACAGCATTCTGCATCGGATTGAGACGCACAAGATAAAATCGATTCGATGCATGTCGATCGTGAAATATTATACGCGTGAAGTGCTGTACCCACCTAATAAACTCATCATAAATATTATTTATACACAAATAATGTTGAGATTTATGTTCATCGCAATAGAAATTTTATACAGAAAATATCAAGTTCGAGAAATAGTGTCACACATCATAATAATATTATTGGCTTTGTTTAAATAAAACTATGAGCGTAAGCAGATAATTGATTTTACTAAGTAAATGGCTGTCCCAAGTATTAGACTTATTGTATAATCATTTGTATTTGATACTTGAGCAAATTTTCAATTTAAATTTACGTCTCGAAGTTGGGAGAATTCTGTTGTAAGAACTACATATGTACATAGATTCATGAAATGCTAAAAAAAGTTTAAAACAACAAAGTTCAAAGCCCCAATTCACGATTTCCTTGTACCTGACAAGAAGTTGTTGATCAAGAACTTGAATTGAATATCCTTAACTTAGTTAATGACTTATTTTCAATCGAGCCCAGAGGTCGAATCTAGATCGATAATCAGATAATCAGTCACCATCGTCGCCGTAGACACGTCCTTACGGATCCATCAGATCCAATAACCCTTGCATTAGACGTCTTCCGCTCTAACAGTAGGAGTAGAGACCCCGGAAACCGTACTCGTCGAACTCGGCAAAGAGTTCGACGTGCAACCTAACCAAAACATCAGCCCGTTGAGTTTCTCGCCGGATCTCCTCAGCGGGTCGCGATTGCGAATCGGTAGTAGATTCATTCGCGTAGCAGCTACTCTTGAGTTGTTATGTCTCCCTTGGAGGCGCTCGGGTAGCTGTTAGCAAATCTTGCCCCTTCTGGTTAAGCCCTTGCTCGCCCATCTGTCCTTGTGAAACTTAAAAGGTCTGCGGGGCACCAGTAAACCCTCAATCACAAAAAAAGACTCTGGGTTGCAATAGCTATTCGAGGATGGGAGCAATAGTTAAGGCAAATGACCACAACGCCGCAGGGGCGATCAAAAACCCAATCAGGAACGTCCTACGATTACAATTTAAAGCAGTTTCAAAACCCGTACCCTACCTCCCCGGATACAGAAGTGACTCATCACAGAATCCTCTTGAATCGCTCAAAAAAAATATCTTCATAAAAATTTCCCTTCAACAACGATTAACTAATGAATGACTAACACACGAATACAGTATTAGTGGACTTAAAAAACCGCATACATGTTATTATGACGCCTATAATAGACCCATAAACGATTAAGGCGGACCACAAAATTGCGGTTTGTTTTCGAAGGCAACTCAAGTAATTACGATATTAATGAAAAATAATATCAAAAAGAACGATTCAGTCGAGATTTATTTATTTATTGACCCTACGACGCGCCGCTTGCTACCATCGGTTTCAACTCGATTGTAAATTGGAGTAAAGGTTTTTAAGGATTGGATTGGCATTTGACATTAGGCAGTGACTTGACTATTCCATTGGTATTGCTGACGGTAATACTCACTACCAGGTTGGCCGCATTCCCGTATGCCTATTAAAGCAATGAGAATAAGTAAATAATTAGTACAGAAAAACGTTGGCAAGCTTTAGGGGTCAATGGATTATTTAGTTTTCCTATTATTTCAGATAGGATGAGATGATAGGATATGACGATAATGATTTAATTTATTTATTTCTCTCTTAAAGATGTAGTACAAATACCAATAGAAATTAACCTTATAATTTATTTTGTAAGCCTTTGAAAGAGCTGAAGTCTGTACTAGGTTCAAAGACCTGTATTACTGATCCCCTCTCTCCCTCCCCCTTCTTAAGATAGATTAGGTTAGCTTAAGTCGTGAATGCTTATTGGATGTGTGGGCGTAAAGTCTCATCAGAGCGCTATGACCTGTCTTTCTTCAAACGAGGCTTGTGGAAAGTATTAAGCGGTAGGCAGCGGCTTGGCTCTGCTCCTGGCATTGCTGAAGTCCATGGGCGACGGTAACCACTCACCATCGGGTGGGCCATACGCTCGTCTGCCTACAAAGGCAATAAAAAAGAAAGAAATGATAGGATATGACGATAATGCTGTAGATTATTTGATGTGTGCCCACACATCAAATACTCTATAGCAGTAAAGTCTTATCAGAATTAAATAAACGGCTATCCTAACTTTTCTAATCGGATCGTTTGATTACTTTGTCGTACCGATATGCAGAATTTTTATACTGTAATTACATATATCAGCCGTCTGATGTAGTGGTAAGTGACATGGCCACTACATAAGGGTGTCGCGGGTTCGAATCCCGCCAAGGGAAGATATTTGTATGATAAATTTAAAATATGTTTTCCAGGGTTAAGGATGTATA